CCAACTTTGACGGTTCTGTCTAGCCGGCTGTCTTCTAGGATAATGTCAATGATTTCCCCTGCCGGCTGGGGGCGGAGGTCGTCTGACCTCTCCCCTGACAGTGATTGCTATTGCTTCTCTCTGACGGGAGCTAATAGCTGGTCTGCCTTTCACTTTTTACCGGCTGCCTTAGTAGCCGGTAACTCTTGATCACACTCGTCAAGTTCAACTACTTCCTTGTCTTGACCGTTTGTGACCAATGTGGGTTTGACGTCCGAGAGGTAACACTCTCTCGCCGTCTTTTGGTTCCCGCTCAAGGAGCCGACTGTGCCATCATCCCTCTCAAATTTAATCAACATTAGAGACGGGATGATCACAACCTTTAAAATGTTAAGGGTTGGGCGGCCAATGATCAGATTGTAGGTCGTCGGTTTCCCTACAATAAGAAACTTGACAACCATGTGCGGGGCCTCCCCTTTCTCTCCAAACCGGATGGGTAGGTCAACCATGCCCACCGGATGTACTACTCCTCCCCCAAAACCAACAAGAGGATATGGGGCCGGATGCATGCTACTTGGCTTATATTTGAGTTTTTCCAAGCACCGGTAGCTTATGAGGTCGGACGAGCTCCCGGTATCAATTAAGATCCGGCCAACTCGTTGATTGGCGATTTTACATTCGATGACTATTGGGTCATCGTGGGGCCGCCTGACCTCTCCTCTATCCTTTTCGGAGATATGGACCTCCGGGAATGAATTTTTGGACGACTGGCCCTCATCCACTGAGTTGACCAGCTTCCTAATGTTATCCTTAGTGCCCCGGATGGTAGGCCCGCCGCTTGCAAATCCACCAGCTATGGTTAGGATGGTATCCTCATCCGTATCTGATTGATTTTCCGGTGTCTTAGGAGGTGGCCCTTTGGCCTGGTTGGGAGCACCCTTTGATTTGGATAAGTAGGATTTTAGAGCCCCTTCATCAGCAAGACGGTTAAAGAGCCGCCTGAGGCTAAAACAACCCTCAGTATCATGGCCTATTTCTTCATGGAACAGGCAATATTTTCTCTTATCCCGACTGCTCACGGGACTCTTCATTGGTGCCGGTTTTTCAAGATTCAACCGGTTTTTAACTTCCTTGATAATGGATGCGCAATCCTTGGTGAATTCGTATTTTGGAACATACGGATCCGACCTCTTTTTCTTTTAGAATTGTTGTCCGGGTTCCTCCCTTTGGGCCGGCTGGGTAGGCCGACTCTCTCTTTTATCGGATCTTTTGTAATCCGTTGGAAGTTTAACAGCGTAGAGTTCAATTGCTTGGATGTAGGCCTCCGCCTTCATTAATGCCTCGTGAAGAGTAGAGACCCTCTTCCTAACCAGGTCAAACTTAAAAGTTGACCCGTCTTTTAGGCCTTTGAAGAAGTTAGTATAGGCAACCTCATCAGACAACCCTTGGATTTGGATCCTTATCAGGTTAAACCGTCTGACATATGACCGGAGCCCTTTCTTATCTCCCTGTTGTATTGCCCCTAGATCAAGGCTTGTTTTCTTAGCGGGGATATTCATAGAGAAGTTGGATGTGAACCAGTAAGCCAACGTTCAAAAGTTATTGATGCATCCGGTAGGTAAGTTACCAAACCAACGTTGAGCAATCCCTTTCAACGTTGCCGGGAAGCACCTACACCATGAGGCATCATCCAAACCCTGCAAATACATCAGGTTGGTGTATGCCATGAGGTGATCTTCCGGATTGGTGGTACCGTCATAGGCACCAACCAACACGTTTTTAATTTTTGACGGCTGGGCTATCTCGGTGATTTCCCTGGAAAACGCCGTTGGCTGTTCCCCCAGGTTGAGCAGCCGGAGCTGCCAGTCCATAGGCCGGACAGGCAGCTGCTGCTGCCCCCCGAAAAGACCCGACTGAGAATAAGGAGATCCAAAAGGCGTGTATGGTGTCCCATGCAATGCCGGTTAGATGATATGAGGGGCGGATCGAGCGGAAACCTCGCTCGTCCGCCTGTCATTGTTTGTTCTCGAGTGCCTCCCTGATGTGACATGGAAGCTGTCTCGAAAGGTCGACGTTGATGCCGACTCGGAGCGCTGCTGAGTCTTTTTATCCTGAATGAGCGTCCGAGCATCAGAATAGACTTTCTTTGTTCCATCCGGCTGTATGTGCCGGACGGGTTTTCTGGCTCCATCCATGGGAGTGTGAATTTTTGAGAAATCAATGGGCCTAGCCGGCACCTTTGACTTCGGGTGTGGGGTAGATGCTCTACCTTTCACTGTCTTGGCCGTCTTTTTTCCAAGACGCCTTTCTTCCGCCTGACCCTTACGGGGGTCGGCTGTGTTATCTAGAAGGCCTTTTATTTCCCCTTTAAAACTCATCATCATGCTCATGAGTTCATCTCTGGAGACTGGGGTGGCCCCTTCTGAAGCAGGAGTTAACCCAAGCGGTCCCCTGATGGGATGGCTTGGGCCTGCCTGCTGCTCTGCCCGTTCCCTTTTGTCTTTGGAACGAGTATGCTTGGTTCTAAAAGAACCATCGGCAGCTGTGTAAGTTTCAACCTCATAGTTGTCGGCTGTATCTTGGTCCGAGTGGACCTCAGCCTCACCAGCAGGTTGGCTACCTTTACCCGGCAGTACAGGTTCTGAAGTCATCTAGAAAAGACTCTCCCCACAGACGGCGCCAGATGTTTGGGGGTTTTTTATGTGCCCTACGGGAGAGTTACAATTTCCTAGTATGCTCCTTCCTTCGCCTGTACCTGCACAAATAACGGAGACTCCGGCTGGGGGTGGGAGTTCCGCCTCCGAAGATTAAATTAGAATCTTTCTGAAGAGGAAATAAGAACAGTAAATTCTTCTCGATTGGAGAGCGTTTGCAATGGGTTTTGTGTTTGGTTGGTTGTTGAAATTTTTTGTCGATCCCCATAAATGAGGTCTACCCCTGCTATTTATAGTAGGGGAGGACTGTACCTCAATTAGGGTACAAGGACACGTGTCACAGAGGGATTGAGCCTCTGTTTGCCCAGTAAGGGGTGGACACGTGTCATAGGCTGATTAGCCTGCTTACTAACCGTTGATATGTTGACACGTGGCAAGCTTTTACTAGGCCACGTGTCTAGGGTAATTTTTACCCTAAACAGACTCAACTTGGGTAACAAACTGGACCATCTTACCCTTCTGTTACTGATCAACCAAAGACACATCATGTAACAAACCCTCAACACAATGTTATTTTATGTAACACCTCTATATTATTAGGATCACCTTTAGTAGCCTTAACTAGATCCTTTCTAGCGGAAGGAAGCTTGCCCAATTCTTGATATGCAAAGGCCCTCCTATAAAGAGCCTTAACATGACAAATTGACAAGAATCAAACTTTAACACGAAAGAACACAGCTTAACAGCAGCAAAATAATCAAGAAGCTTCAAAGCACATGCCGCAAGATGAGATGCAAAGAAAATGCCAAAGATTGAAATGAAGAAAAAGCTTCCAAAGAACACGTCATAGTAAAGCACAACAATTTACTAGCCAACTCATACTTAGAAAAGACAAGTTTAAACTAGCCAACCTTAAACAAGGACTTTCCTTGCTCCTTGAACTCCAAGGAACGAACAACATCATTGAGATTATCCATAGAGGAAAGAAGGTGAAAAATACTTTCATCATTGAAATCATCGAGAAGATGAAAAGAAATAAAGGCTAGAAATAACTCCATATTGAAACTCAAAATTCTAAACTAAGAGCTTAAAAAAGTGAAACAGAAACAACATACAAGTATACAACCCAAGGAGGAAACTAACTCCACCAAGCACAACCACGACTTCTACAAATCAAAAGCAAGAAGAACCCCTTCAACTGAACTAAATAAAATTTCAATTTCTTTAAAAAAAGAGGCAAACTAAACCAAGAAAAAGAAATCAAGAAAAGTGACAAAACCTAACAAGGGATTTATAAAAAGAAAGGAAAATTTGAAAAATACCAGCAACTATTGTTCACGTTTTAGTAATTACCACCTCAAGTTTTTTATTTTTTACATTACCACCTACTTTTCTTTAAAACATAAAAAAAAAAAAAAAGTTTTGGAAATTTTGTCAAGAACTACCAAAAAAAAAAAGTGGGACCCATATGCCGGAGATTTTAGCCGAATTTGTTAGAGTGGTAGTGCTAGTTAAACTTTTTACAACTTTGTGGTAGTTTTTTGAAAAAACAAAAAAATTTAATAGGTAGTTGTTTCCAAAACACGTGCTTTAATTGGTAGTTCTTGACCAAATTTCCAAAAACTCCCACCTCTTTTCCCAAACCCTCCTAAATGACGTCACAGTGGGCCTCACTACCAATTTTCTTTCTCTCTTCTTTCTATTTTCACCTTTCTTCTTCCCGGCTTCTTCTTCCTAATTAACCAATTTTGCAACTAATAACCCTAGAATCAACTCCCCAAATTTAATTTATAAGCCCTAATTTCAATTGAAAAATCCACAAATTGATTTTATAAACCCTAATTATGCCCTCGATTTTGCATTGTCGTTTGGCTTGAAGAACAAATTAGCGAATTAAAACCCTAAATAACGCCTAATTGATTCGCAAATTGATTTTAAAATTAGACAAAGAGGAAGAGAGAGGAAGAAGAAGGAAGAATAGAGGTGAGAATCGAGGGGAAATAGAGGTACAATTGGTAGTGGGGCCGCAATGACATCATTTAGAGGGGTTTGGGAAAAGAGGTGAAAGTTTTTTATGTTTTTAAGAAAAAATAGGTGGTAATGTTAAAAATAAAAACTTGAGGTGGTAATGACTAAAACGTGAACAATAATTGATGGTATTTTTCAAATTTTTAAAAAAGAAAAGGAGACAAAAACTGACCCATGAACAGAAAACTAAACAAGGGTGTTTTAAAAAAAAAAAAAAGAAAACTAAACAAGGGGATTAAGAAATCAAGAACATATAAACACGGGAATTAAAAAAAAAAGAACAAAACACAGAGCTGGCCCCCATTCATCTTTATGATGAACGTGCCTTGTTTATCGCGTGGCGCAATTGTAAATAACCCGAACAGTGAAACGTCATATTAAGCTATCCGATAGACAAATTATCGTACAAGCTGGCATCAAAATTTGAAGTAAGTTACAGAAAAGTTGGATGGCGTTAGATTCTAACTACCTTCCGTTAAATACATTATTTAAATAGGGTATTACATTTGATCAGTTGTTGAAGTGTAGTAATAGGGTCGCCGCTATAAGGGTGGGAGACGGAGCTACTACTGGGAGTCTACGAACACCGTTGAAGGCTGTGCTTGATAACCTGGTAAGCTGATCCGTAGTTTCATTCTAGTTGAATGCTTTGTTTGTATGTACTATTATGCTTTATTACTTCATTAGCGGATGCGGATTTTTGTTTACTGTCTATTATTATCAAATCATGAAGAACTGTTATATTATTATTGCGAATTTCGATTCCAAATGTTTTGTGTGAATTTGATTAAATTTAATTAGACGGAATATGATTTACATTAAGGATTGTATATTGTTTTGTGTGAAGAACTGTGTTAATTGTATATTGTTGATATTGCTTAATTGTTTTGAAATTCATGATAGATCATGGTTAGTAGTTTATCAAGGATAGAGTAAGATACTCCATGAAGCTACCCTGACTTAAGCTTAGTGTATTTGAATTGTGTTGATTTACTAGCATCGCAAAAATGGTGATTTTGTAATATAAACACAGTGAATCAGCGCACATACCTAGTGAATTAGCAATATTAGTATTTGATGATGAATAATATCGCTAAGGTGGCAGTAGGATCGTATTAGTATGTAATTTGGTGTTGTTATTTTGTTTACTGAATGCATTTGATGTAATGTGTACACAGACCAATATTTGTTGGTATAATGGAGGAATTTGCACTTTCACCAGTTACTGGTTCTGGTAATGATATTGGTTTGTAAGATATGGGGAGTGGTGTTAGATGCCAAGGTATGGCAAATGATAAGGAGATTGAGGTGATTGACCCCCCGTCTTTAGATGGTCGTGGTGACAGGCTAAAGTCGTATCACCTAATCAAAAGAATTACCTAAGTCCTCTAACTAAAGTAGATAGGGAAATAGACAGGAAAACAAGTCTTTCTATTCCTAAATAATTAAAATAACCTAAACTATTAAGTAACCAATTTGTTTTTATGAGAATTAAACTAAGGAAAATAAATAAACCAAAGCAAATTAAACTAGGGAGAAATCAATAAATCAAAGTCTAGGGTATAGGTTCACCAATAAATAATATTCCAGGGTAAAACACAATAATCAATTATCAATGCATCAATTAATCAGATCATAAAGGGCTTTCGCTACGTATTACAATCACAGAATTAATCTACCGGTATTAAATCGCATCTCTCGAATCTTGACTTAACCATTTATAAATTAACCTGCCTATTGAAACTAAGCCTAAACATCAATTCTCATCTCTCAAATCTCGAATCAATATTGCATAACTCATACAATTAAACCGGGCCTAATCTAATTGCATAACATTAAATCAATCAATAGGAAATCAACCAAAGCATTAATAATCAACAATAGTAAATTACCCCTTCATATTATTTACGGATCCCCTCAAACCTAGAAATAAAACTACTCACACATATTTAAATCTAAACTAAAAAAAGCAAATAAACAAGACATAATTAATCAAAGCAATTAATTACTGAAAATAAAAGGGAAGAAATCGTTACCAAAATAAACGGAAATGATGAATTGCATAAACTAAAAGTGTAGAGAGAGAAAGAACAAGAGTATTAACCAAAAGCTTAAAACTAAAATCTGAAAATTAACTAATGAAAGACGTAATCGTATCTAACTTAACAAATCATATTTGTACTTAAGCTAGAAATCCTAAACTTAAATGAAGATTAAAATCGCAAAACACCCCTCAAAAACACGTGCCCGGTCGGGCGGATGATCGCCCGGCCGGGCCCGCCTCAGGGCGAGGACACTTCTCTTCCTTCTGCCTCACCCGGCCGGGCGCGCCCAGGGCGAGGGCACTCCCCGGTCGGGCAAGCTCTCGGGCAAGGAAGTTTCTTCGATTGGGCCACTCTCTTAGCCTAATCCGGATGTCCTCTTTGGGGCCTTGAAGCTCGGTCCATTGCCTCGAACTCTTCTTTTTTCACCGAGCCCTTAATCACCGGTTTGATTGCTCCAATGCGGCCTTGGGCTTCGGAATGTGGTCATATGAATGCGATCCTACTCCAATGCTCATAGTGGCTCAAATAAGTCCGGGAAAATGCTCCAAATTCGCAATTTCCTATAAAACAATACCAAAACTACGAAAACACTAGAAAACGCATATTAGTAATAGAAGTGACTCTAAAGATCCAAGAATACTCCCAAATATGACCAAGGGACGGGGGTAAAACACTATATAAAATGAACATATCACATGGTCACATTGTTCCATTTGTAGATGGGGAGACCTTCCAACCTACTGACCAAGGGTTGCAATATGTTTCTCCTATAAAAACTTTTGAGACAGTTGAGACAGTCGTGGCAAGTAACCACATTAGCGTAGTCGGTTATGTGGAACCACCTAGGGTAGGAATGGTATTTAAGAGTTGGCAAGATGTTGAATCTTATTATAAAGAATATGTAGAGCAAAAGGGTTTTGGAGTTAGTAGGGTGCAAGGTGTATATTCTAAGGGTGAGGGTAGAGATCGAATATCGACAATATGGAGGTGTGAGTGCTATGGGAGACCCGATATGAGGGCTCAAAGGGAAGCCAAGAAGAGGGCGAAGGCGATGGACATTTCTGGTTCTGACGGAGTTATTGATGGGACGGTTGTTGAGGATGAGCTTGGTCGAAGTAAGAGACGCTCAAAGAAATGTGAATGTCAGGCTAAGATTCATACAAGTGTCAATCGTGAGGGCCAATGGGTTATAAAGGGTGTGGAATTGGAGCATTCAAACCACACACCCACCCTCGGTGGTGCAAAGCTTGTGAAAGAGTACAGGATGAAAAACTTTAACTCAAGAGTGAGGAAGAAGTTATTCAATTATTTCGACGAAGGGGTTCTTGTTTCACAAATCCATGGATGCTTGAGTACCGAGATGGTAGGGGTGGAATATTTGCCTTTTACTGTAAAAGATCTTCAACACGAGGTATATAAAAGCCAAAGGTTGAAAATGGAGGATGGTGATTCCATTGCAATGATGAACTACTTTCAGCAAATTTAAGCTGGGAACCAGAATTTCTATCATGCACAACGGTTGGATGAGCAAGGAAGGTTGAAAGATGTGTTGTGGGTCGATGCACGAAGCCAGGCAGCGTATGAAGAATTTGGTGACGTTGTTTGATTTGATGCGACGTATCTGACAAATGACTACGATCTTCCTTTTGTGAATTTCTTGGGGGTTAATCATCACGGACAATCAATATTATTGGGTTGTGCGTTGGTATCTCACGAGATCTCTGATACGTTCTGGTGGATTTTTAAGCAATGGTTGGAATGAATGAATGACAAGGCACAAAAAGCAATACTCACAGATCAGGCGGCTGCCATGAGAAAGCCACTTGTGGTAATTATGCCATCCACTCGCCATCGCTGGTGTATATGGCACATAATGAGAAAGATACCAGAGAAACTTAGTAAATGCGAAGGGTATGATTTTAATTAAATATACCAATCTATGTATTTAGTTTTTGTATCCACTGTGTATATTGTGAGTTACAAGATACGAGTAAGCATTGGTTTTTATTTTGTGGTGTTTGTTTTAGGTATCAACAATTGAAAGCTGTGTTGAAGGGCGTTGTGTACGATAGTCAAACAATACTAGAGTTTGAGAATCGCTGGAATGCTTTAACTTTAAGTTGGAAGAAAATGATTGGCTAGAAGGGTTGTATAATGAAAGGCATATGTGGGTGCCTGCCTTCATAAAGGACTACTTTTGGGCTGGGATGAAGACAACACGGCGTGTTAAAAGTATCAATAGCTTTTTTGATGGATTTGTCACAAGGAACACCAAGTTGTTTGAATTTCCACAAAAGTATGCAAAAGCAATGGACAAGCGAGTCAGAGACGAGACTAAAGCGGATGCAAAGTGCTCCAAGTATATAAAGAGACTTGTCAGCGGGTTCAAGGTTGAAAAGCTTTTTCAGAAATTGTACACCGACACCAAATTTCAGGAAGTCCAGAAAGAGTGTACAAAAATGATGTATTGCTATCCAAGGGAGGAGAATATAATAGCTGATAATTTAGTTCAACACCTTATTGAATATCGGGTGTGGATAGTACCTGAAGGAAAAAGTGAGGAAGTTTTGACTGATTGGCGGAGGTTTGTTAGTGCCACATTCAACACTGAAACAAAAGTGGTTTGTTGTGACTACCGCAAATTTCAGACACACGGAATTATGTGCAAGCATAGCATTAGGATTCTTGATATTAATCTAGTAGTTAATATTCCCCAACACTAAATTGTGCGTAGGTGGAGAAAAGACATACTAAGGAAGCACACTAGGGTCTAAGTTTCTTACCATGATCGTAACAAAACAAGCGAGGGAAAAAGGTTTAACATGATGATGCATGCTTTTGAGTCGGTGTGTGACGAGGCTCCAATGGTTAACGATGAAACGGTTGATATGGTGATTACTTGTTTAGAGAAACTTAAGGCTGAAGTCAGTCTTTGCAATAAGCAAAAATTAGAGCAAATAATCAAAGTAACTTATCCCGGTGATCCTTCTCCAGCTGTACATTAGAGCTCTGGTTCTATTGGCACGAATTCTACCGTTCAAAATCCATTTGAGAACTCGCCTGTATTTGCATCTGGTGCTGAAAGGGAAGGTACCAATGGTTTAGTTTGCAATGTTAAAGATCCTGTTACAAAGAAGAGAGATCGGGGCAGGCCTAAGGGTTCCAGAAATAAGTCACTAGCTGAAATTGGGTATAAGAAGCCAACAAAGAAGAATGCAAAGGTTACCGGGGTCAATTCCATATATAGTTCATTGCTTGTTCTTTACTATAATTTTGTGATCTTATATTGGTAATCTAACCTGTATCTAGTACAATATGCAGAAGAATGGTACGACGACATGCACCCAAGTTCTTGAAGATCTGCAGCAACCTAGGAAGATTGTTGTAAGTTTTCACTTGTAAATTGATTGTTTTGGTTTAAAACACTGGATCTATTCTTTTATGTGGTCTGATGTTGCAGATAAGGCACAAGGTTGCAACACAAAATCAACCTGTACTTGGAGCGACTGATTTGGATTTTGTTGCTAAGGATGATGTGCTTGTTGTTGGTTAACAAAGTGGTATATAAGACATTATGTTAGATTGAGGTTGCATAGGCATGCATTATAAGGAAGGACAAGAGTAGTTGGTGTTAAGTTTGTTGCCCCCTTATGTTTAAACTTGTTAAGTTGTCTTTTGTTAAGTTGTTGAACATGGATAATAGTTTGTAAGCACTCTGTATTGTGCATTGAAACACATATTGCTAAGTATGTTATGGTTTGCTTTATTTGGTTGTTTTGCATAAGCTACTAGTTTTGTGTATTTCAGTAATGAGAGTGTTAGACTTGGGTTTTATGTTTTTGGGCCGTGACTCAATGGGATGTGGATGTATATGTGCAGTCAATTAGTGAGATGTTGATGGCTAAATTGGTGGCATTGCTGCAATCATTTCCATTTTATCAAACAAGTGTTTTTGTTCTTGAGAGATAACTTATATCAATGTTTTCTAGTGCTCCATCAATACAAACCCAAACTGCACATAACGAAGACTAATAAAATTAGATTAGATTTTTCAAAATACTGGATGAGAGCCGTGGTTCTAGGCTAGCCCATTTACACCAAAGGACCACATTATACCACTGGCTAGCTGGGCCTAAATATCATATATTGATAATTTCAACTACTTACTAAGTATCTCTTAATATTTAAGGCCCATATTAATGAACCAAATACATCACCATTACAATTGGACCGGATTACAATGGGCCCAATTACTAGTTATCCAAAATATATCATCAAAAGTCTAATACAAAAATGACTAATACAAAAATGACTCATACAATTGATTTAATTACTTTCTACTTCTACGACAAAGTTAACTAATACAAAATGCTCACCCACTAAGTCCAACTCCAAGGAACGCTCATATTATTGACCGAGCTTGTTTGTGATTTGACCCTTTATCCCCAAATTCTTAACATCACTTGACTCGCTTGTAACACATTCATTAGCTCGACTAACATCCTTGCTTCGCATAACAGTTTCCATAAACCAAGGGTTGTGCCACCCACCTAGGCGTATTTTGGTGATTTTTCCCTTAGCCTTTTTCATGATTTTCTTAAGGCCGAAAAACCTTTTCCTTTCTTTTTTACTGTCTGGTGAAGCTGGCAAAACATTTAAATTGATACCAAGATCATGAGTACCTATAGGCATTTTGTGGCTAAAAATCCCTTCCCTCCCTTCACCCAGTCTGGTTGGAGACAAGATCTGCGAAGCAAGAATTAGGTTTCTCACGAAAATTTCATCTACTTCCTCAACAGCATCAATATGAGATCCCATATTTTGTAATTGCATCCTGAGCATCTCGTCGAAATCGGCTGAAGTTGGTCTTGACCCCCATGCTAGCCCAAAAGGTCTTCTTAGCACCAAGGGATCATAAGCTTGTAAATCATAAGGTACAAGCAAACAATCCCTTGGACCATTAAATAACTTGGACTTGACGTAGGTAGGCTTCTCATTTTGGTTTTCATTCAACCCCTCCATTATCAAATGTGCTTAATTACTATGTGGAATTTTTATTTCATTTTTTATTTTTTTTTTATTTTTTTTTCTGTGGAAGGTTTTGAAAATAGTCACACTGTTTACAACAATCAGACGGAGGAGTTCATTTTATATAGGAGTACGCCCTATACTTCCTACTTAGGTTGTTGGTTGGAACTAAAAACACCTCCCACTTTTTGAAATCATAATAAAATACAATAAATAACATTTGTACTACAACTTCCGGTATCCGTATGCTTTTAGAAATACCCTTTGGACAATAGGATATTGAAGATTATAATTCATTGCGATCTAACCCAAGCATTTATACATAACTCTTCTTACCTTAAATAAATACTCTTAGACTCTTTTAATATGCTTACAAACGGGTGTGTTCCCAAAAATTGCAGATTTTGAGTCAATCACTAACTGATAACGATTAGTATAACTTGTAAGGGCGGTATGTTTCTTAAGCCAATCACCATACCAAAAGGGATAATTTTAACACACATATTTTAAAACACACAATACTTATATTCATAACACTAGAACACATACACATAATAATATTTTAAAGCAAACACCTCTTACATAAGGAGCTATGCTAACACAACTTAATACATAATATAGAATAAAGTCCTGAAGTACTAATAATACTACCTAAATTGCATGCTAGAGGAGCGGGGAAAATACATCAAGCAATGCGACAACCATAGGTCGGCTACCTATTCATGATCACTAGGCTAACCAACTTCCTTACTAAGCCTTAATTATCGTTTCGGTCCAATTAGTAATAAAACTACAACATTTTAGTACCACATTAATACATATGTTTACCACATATTTATTAAAAGAGAAGCAGACTTGGGATTATGGGTTCCTCCAATTGTTAGGGAGCACGTACAAGCGGTGATTGTTCTTGATGCCAACCTCCCTTATAGTGTGGAGTGAGGTCACCACCTTGTTCTCGTAAACAACAATTATGTTCCTTGGATCAACATTGTTACGTTCTCCCCAAAGTGCATAGGCCCCGTACAAGGTTTCATTATGCACAGCAGTCACCCATAGGTTGGTAGGAAAAGAGACCATATCTTGCATCCTAAATACTTTGAAGCGGGTATCAACATTGTGACCAGGGTCCTATGATCACATAAAAAATTAATCATTTAAAGGAAACAAAAAAAATAAATTGTTACATTAATCAAAATAATATGCCATCATTGTACATAATTATAGTCAATCTCCATATAATTCATACTGTTTTCCAACAAGACCCTTCCTTTATGTAATTTTATTCTTAATTGAGTCATAATATCAGATCTAACTCAACTAAATTTGACTTTTCAACTTTTATTCTTTAACACCTCGGCTTCTTTGTTGCTCACCATGCATCACTCATCTCTTTGTTTACCAATTATAACACAAAACTTTAAATAATTTTAACACAACCACCTCTATATTATTTCCACGTAACTTTTAAAGTATTCTCCATTAAATTAGATTCTCAACTGTTTCCTTTTCAAAAAATATAAAATAAAAAAATTCTTGACTTTTCTTATATGGTATATTTTTACAAGTTTCAATAAACACAAACCCTAATTTGTGACATTATCAGGTATTTAATACATAGATCATAAGCACCTCCTCACATTAATTACTGCATTATTCACCCATTCATACTATACTTCATGCTCTTTGCTTTGAAATTTAAAAATCTAATTTTTAATAACAGTTAAATAAAGCGATAAGATTATGATAACAACAAACACTAAAGGTGATTTTTTACGCAAAGTATCTACCAACGGGTACAAAGAAAAAGTACTAAGCAAAAAATTAAATAGGGAAAAACTATTCTGATCGAGATTATGTGACCTAAACTTTGCATCTAGCACGACTTGCAAACAAAGGTTAAAAAAAAAAATAATGTTCCAAATTAGTAAGGGTTAGAAGGAGCCATACCACATGGACCACAGTTAGGATGTCACCATTTTGTACCCCAGCTGCGAAAGCAGTAGACAACGGTGAGACGACTTCATTGAACCTCCTGATCACGGTCTGCTCCTGTTTTAGGCCACGGTCAGCATAATCTCGATAGATTCGAACCATAGATTCAACTGCGGTTATAGTGTATTCGACTCCCTCATCATTCGGGTTAACCGAATGTTGAGCCTAAGAAACCCGTTATAGTTAAACGGGTGTAGACACCTGATTGTGTCTCCCCAAAAACCAAACCCAGTGATGAGTACCTTTCACATCTTTGATTATCGAGTAAGGTGAAGAGTTGAAGAGTCTCGTGAATTTCCCTTTAGCCTTGACCATTTCTAACCTTTCCTTAAATGTTTTTAAGCCAAAATCATTCATTTCACGCCTTTAAACCCAAAATCATTCATTTCATGTCTTTAAAATCATTAATTGTGTCCAATTTATAAAAACGTCCAAACTAGTTTATTTTAGTCCATAATTCTAGACGGGGTTTGAAAATAGCTTTCTAACAATATATTATAAGCCCAAATCCGAGTTATAACGAGTAAGTTATGGCCAAACTACTAAACCGAGCCTTACCTGCGGCCCATGTGGAGGGTCCATTAACCTTAACCTCATTCCTAAACCAATTAGGATTTATCACAAGCTTCTATAATCCTCTAGAAGGTTGTTTTGAGTCCTAAATCCATTAGGATTTATTATTAACTTTTAGAATCTTCTAGAAGGTTCCTTTATCCTGTTTTTGAAAAGATAAAGACGTAGAATTTTATATCGGATGAAATACTTGCTTTTCAAAGATTTAATTCTGATAAAATTAGAATACGTACGGAGATTCGACTAACCCAATTTGATTGGAAGTCGGATTCCGTACGGATTCTATCTTCTAAAAAGTATCGCTGAGCGATAGAAATATCGCGTTGCGATACAAAAAATAATAATAATTATAATAATAAAAAAAATCCACGCCAAGCTAAGCACAAGGTATACCAATGATTTGAGGCACCCCTTGTAGCTACATCATATCACCTTTACCCCCTTGAATTACAATCCCTTTCTTGATAAACCACTTTGAGCCTCGTCTAACAATAGACCTTCATTTTTTCAACCCACATCTACCTAACCTTGGGATGGGATGGTGTGTAAGTTATGCAATTTTCAAAGCCAAGTACCAAAGCTTAGGTGATTGCTTCCAAAGAAAATTTCAAAAGTAAAAAAAAATTAGCAATAAAAGTGTGCAAAAGGGTAAGTGTTCCAATGTCTTTGAGATGAACATGTCTCAGATTGCGTCTCTTATCGAGTGCTCGGTACCATGCCTGAGAAACATGAATGCCAAGTGAGTGATAGACCGCATGATCGAGATTGCCCACACTTATACAAAAGAAAATTCAAAAACAAATTTCAAATGCCAAAAATAAAGAAAAATGAGTTCAAAAGTGAGACAACCTCAAGCATACAAATACCAAGATTCAAATGCAAGGTTGCACACCTTGGGGACTTATTTTGGGTCTTGAGCCTTTATCCCTTCTTCTTCAACCTTTAGCCTAACCCCGTTACAACCCTTGAAAGACCTCCTTGAGGTATACACACACTTGTGTGAGGTTCGGCTAGAGCTACATTCGGCCTGATTCCTAACGGATACGTAGGCAACCTGACATTGGGGTGCGACCGTAATAAGAATGTATTCGTTCATTCACATTCATGCATGATCATATCAAGGGATCTCCAATGTTCATCCCTATCCATTTATAGCTAGACTTGGGGGCT